TTTGAATATTTCAAAACAGTAAAAGGCTATCAACATTGAATCTAATGGTATTTTTAGTTTTCGTTATATCATGATGTTTCTTCTGTATTTTATTGCGAATATTTTATAATTTTTGAATGTTTCATATATATTTTGAGAAGACATAATTTTGGCTAGAAGGACAATTTTTTCAAGTATTTAGCTTTGAAATTAATGAAGTTAATGTTTTTTTCTGGTATTATCATCATCATATTACAAGTAAAAATAATACAATATTCTATATAATAAGATTCAGCGACTCTCTCATTTAACTCCTTCTAAACTCCTAATTGGTACCATACAAATCGTCTCGATCTCGAAGTTTGTACAAATGTAAAACTTTTCACCCTACTCCTTGGTGAACCCGGAAATTTCCCGAAAACCCTTCTCCTAAACTTTTGGAATTAATTTCTAAATGGTGTCAAACGAATCATCTCGATCCCGAGGTTGACACAAAGGTAAAACTTTTTACCCTACTCCTTGGTTAAGCCGGGAATTTCCCAAAAACCCTTCTCCTAAACTTCTGGACTTACCAATTTCTAAATGGTGCCAAAGGAATCGTCTCAACCCCGAGGTTTGCACAAAGATAAAACTTTTCCCCCAACTTCTAAGGAAACCCAAGTGGAGTCCAAATTTGGCATTGATTTGCATTAGATCACTACTAATTGCCGTTCGTAACTTGGTTCAAGAAACTAAAGTTGCATTATAGTGGTAATGATCATTAAACTGAAAAAGTACAAAACAGTAGTACAAGCATTACATTTGCATTATAGTGGTTCTGTAAATGTAAGCCATAGGCCCACGGGTTCGCTAGTACCGATTAATAACGATTAAGAGAAACTTAGATAACACAGCTAGAATTATTTTTACCTTTTCCGATAATTTTCAGCTGTTCTAACATAGTAAAGCTGCTCTAATAATCTATAAATAACGTTTTTAAGCTAGAATGCTCAATGGTGAAAGTAAGATGGTTGTCTTTAGGCAAGTTCCGATGCAACATTTCGCTCTCTTATGGTCAATTGTTATTAGAGTTAAGTCAGAAAAGTTTGAACACGTTAAATAAAATTGAAAAAGTTAATTTGACTAGCAACGAGAAGGTTTGGTTGTAAATATCGATAAAGAAATGAATATCTCAAGTCTGGTGTCGGCAGCATTTGTAAATGGGTGAATAAGTGAGTTTGGGATACGGATTAATCAATATTTTGATAAATAGTCTTCATTTTTTCGATAATTAACTCATTAAATGGTCTAACTCTGGGTATCACGTTATAAAAAGACGTCTGAAGAAGTTGACGGTTTGAACTGCTTAAACGTTTTCACTTCGTTTTCCGAGATTCCTCAAATTAATAATAGTAGAAGCGAATGAAAATGTGGAAGTTTCTAAAGTTAAAAAGTAGAATAACTATGTGTGAAATTTCTTTACTAAATCAATATACATATACATATATTAGTTATACTTTGCTTGGATCAAACTTTAGGGTATTCAATTAAAACTAGCAACTAATATATATATTATGTAGTGGATATTCGAGTGGATACCTTGGGATTGACAGATAACTAAAAAAGCAAAATTTATTGAGAAATAAGGTTTAATAATATATTGTTGAAATACAGATAACTAAATTCATAACTGGTATATTAAACGTTCCAAAAGTCGAAAAACAACTGGTTGAATTTTCACTTCTTCTGTGTATTGGAACTAGTTGTTTATTCATAAATAACCACAATTCCAACAAAGCCTACTTTCCATTGTACATAGGTTTATGTTATTTCTCAAAGTTGAGCAGCTGGCAAGACTAAATTAAGCTCTTGTGGTAACTTAACGTTAAAACACCCGCCTAAATCATTAACTGCTTACTTTACCTGTTAAATAATTATTGAATTCTAAGTCACTAAGGCTTTCTTCTGAATCATCCTCATGACACACGCATTTAAATTTGTTTAAACTGATTCTTTTCCCATAAAACTCCTGGATTAACCTAACTGCATATCAATAAAAAATGTTATGAGTAATAGCTTCTAACAGTCAAACCTATAAGGTGTTACTATAACGAATAACTAAAATGTCTGTGTGGTATCAACCAGAACTAACACGATATCGTTTAAATCTTGCTCGCTCTAAGATAAAACAGCAGTGTGACACATTACTGCAAAACGCCATTTTTTAAATCTAAATATTAAAAAAAATACATATTTTTCTCAAAGTTGTCATCCTGTTTTATCAAATCCAAAAGGCTATAAATAATTGAGAACATTTTCGCTCCATTGAAATCGAGGTCAAAAAGAGTACCTGAAGTGATAGTTTGATAAATCATAGTTAATACTACATTTAAGTGGCTGCTGTATACACAATTCATTTACGCGTTCTTCGTCTAAAACATTTATAACAACCAAAATATAACAGAGTATCTTTTATCGAATCAAAAAGCATGAAATTAATTACTTGTTTAACATCCCTAAACTGCAACTACATTTTCAACAGAACCTTTCACTATTCATTGTGGTATATTAATTGAAACAATGCAAATCTATGCTTATCATAACATAAAGTAATGTTCGAATATATTTGTTCCGTATTTCATCAGCATTTTTAGTAACCTAGCAATGAGAATGTTTCACACTGAGGGTGAGGCAAAAGAGATTATACAGTTGTTTCATTTAGAACAGTTTCATTTCCTACGTTTTACCCTGAAAGAAACAATAACTAAATTGGTTAAATTGTTTTCACAATATTTTCTTTAGTACCTACCGTATAGTCTAACTGTACAATCTGTAGAATAGCTTTCACCCCCCCCCACCCTGTATTTAGAAACTACAAAATGGTCAAAACGTGATAACCAAAACTTGAACTGAAATTTTCGTATACCGTAAATCTCCACATCAAATAGTAGCAAGTTTAGTGTGGTAAAATAATACAAGACGATAAATAAAACTAGGATTCCAACCAGCATTCTTGCTCAGATGTTGTTAACTTAGAAATTTGACACCATATCTCCTCTTAGTATTATTTCCGATAATTTCAACAAAAACTTGATCTAAATATCCAAATATAATTTTAACAAACAGCTGCGTCGTGCACTTAAAGGTTTTAACAAATTATATTAAACA